GAACTCTGCCGCGGACAAGGAATCCAAGCGCCTGAATTTGCTCGGGAGGAAGGTATATTCCTCGGCCACAGCCACATTGAGGATGGCCAATTATTCCGCCCAACTCGCCAATCACGACTTCGATAATTACCTGAAGTTGGTGCCTCTAATTCAATACCTACCAGACTCCAAGCGGGACGTACTGAAATCTATCGTGCAGGAGGGTTATACAACAGCCCGTAATGCACTCCAGATATCGCTGGATATTGCAAACTCGGCCTCCCGCACTGCAGCGACATTGGTCGTCATGCGACGTGCCTCTTGGCTCCACCTTGCTTCGGTACCAAAAGTTCTACAACCCAAGGTAGAGGACCTTCCATTTGATCGAGCTTCCTTGTTTGCCCAGAACACTGACCAGGTGTTCCATTCTGGAGAAGACTCCCAAACTACTCTAAGAACCCTCAGGATGTATACTCCACCTTTCAAGCACAGGAGGGCATGGCCATATAACAAACAAAGGCCTTCTTCCTCGTATTCCACCCAACGCTTCAGGCCCTATGACCAACAGAAACAAAGGCAGTGCCCCCAACGTCGTCACCAGCAACCTAATAAGCAGCAGAGTCACCAACAACCTCGGCAGCAGGTTTGATGCCCTTGTCGAGGGTCTGCGCACCATCCCCCTATTGGAGTCTTCGTCGCGAGTAACCAAGCTTTTCCACCACCACCTGAACCCTTATTGCCCCCGCTGGTTCGCCATCAACACGGACCGTTGGGTCAGGGAGATCGTAACCTCTGGACTCGCCATTCTCTTCTCCACTCTACCTCCCTCCAACCCCCCATCCCCGTCCCTTTTCAGAGACCCCTCTCACGATCTTCTGTTGCATCGGGAGGTCATGCACCTACTTACCACTGGAGCGGTAGAAGAAGTTCCCTCCGAATTCCGAGGCAGAGGTTTCTATTCCCGGTACTTCCTCACCGAGAAGAAATCCGGCGGATGGAGACCGATCCTGGATCTTCGCGGCCTCAACCGCCACCTGCGAAAACAAAAATTCAAAATGTTTACTTTGGGCTCCATCATCCCAGCGCTACACAAAGGGGATTGGTTTGCGTCCCTCGACCTCAAGGACGCGTATTTCCATATTGCCGTCCATCCAGTTCACAGAAGATTTCTACGCTTTACTGTAGGCAACGATCATTATCAATATGCGGTGCCCCTTCGGCCTCTCCGCAGCCCCAAGAGTGTTCTCAAAAACCCTGGCAGTCGTAGCTGCGTACCTTCGTCGGGCCGGCATCACCATTTGTCCCTATCTCGACGACTGCCTCCTCATGCCTATCTCGATGACTGCCTCCTCACGGGCCCTTCCATACAAGAGACCGAGACCGCAGTTACAGTTACAAGAAGTATTTTCGAGACTCTTGGACTAATCATCAATCTCCCAAAATCTTCTCTGGTTCCCACGTAAGCCATCGAATTCATTGGAGCCAGACTGAACTCTATAACCGCTATGGCGTAACTACCCATGGACAGAGCCGACGCCATCTGAGACCTAGCGAACGTCTTACTTACCGCTCCGGCAGTCTCGTGCCTTACCTGCCTGAAGTTGTTAGGCCACATGGCCTCTACTACGTACGTCATAATGCACGCTCACCTTCGTATGCGGTGCCTGCAACATTGACTTCTCGCAACATACAAACCCGGTATTACCAATGTCCACACACTCACGCCTGTTCCGACCCATGTCAAGGACTCGCTTGCGTGGTAGCTCCATCCTGCCAATACTCTTGCCGGTGTCCCCTTTCGTGCCCAACCCCCGTCAATCCAGCTTACCACGCGTCCCATGTAGGCTGGGGAGCACATATACTACAACATCAGGTTCAAGGCTTGTGGTCCCACCAGGAATCCCTCCTCCATATAAATTTCCTGGAGCTCAGAGCGGTTTTCAACGCTTGCCACCACTTTGCCCACCAGATCCAGGGAACCACACTACAAGTCCTCACAGACAACATATGCACCGTATACTATATCAATCGACAAGGCGGAGCCAGATCCAGAACTTTGTGTGCGGAATCAGTACACCTTTGGAATTGGGCGATTTGACACAACGTCACGCTCACAGCCTCCTACCTCCCCGGCAGGATCAATACCATTGCGGACGCACTCAGCAGATCTTTCCAATCCCAACACGAATGGGAACTCCTCGATTACGTAGCCCGCGATCTTTTTCAACGGTGGGGCTATCCAGAAATCGACCTCTTTGTCACTCGCGACAGCAAGAAATGTCGCTGTTACTGCTTGAGAGTGGGCATAGGCAAGCAATCGAAGGGAGATGCCTTCCTGCTCAATTGGGGGACATATCATCTCCTACACGCCTTTCCCCCAATTCCCCTGATACCCCGAGTGATAGGGAAAATACTATCTGACACAGCGACAGTAATCCTGGTGGCTCCCTTTTGGCCTCGCCAAACCTGGCTGACGCAGCTCATGCAGATGTCAATATCCCGACCTCAACGACTTCCACAGCTGAGCAACCTGCTCTCGCAGCAACGCGGCAATCTTCTCCATCCAAACATAGATCATTTGCACGTGACAGCTTGGCTCCTAACTGGCTCCAAGGCCTAGAGCTGACCTGCTCCCAAGCAGTCAGAGATGTACTGGTACAAAGCAGATGCCACAGCACTCAGAAATCTTACCTCTATAAGTGGCGTCGCTTCTATGCTTGGTGCCAATCGCAGACCATTGATCCTCCCAAGGCACATATCCAATGCATCCTAGACTATGTGCTTCACTTACATTCGCAAGGCTTGGCGGTTGCTTCCCTAAGAGTGCATCTGGCAGCGATTTCGGCCTTTCACACTCCAATAGAAGGTTTTTCCGTCTTCTCACACCCACTCACGAAGAGATTCTTTAAGGGTATTTCTAATCTTTACCCACCACACAGGCCTATCGCAGAACCTTGGGACCTTGCCTTCGTACTGGATACTCCTTCTCACCCACCATTTGAACCCCTCGCAACTTGTGATTTGCAAACTCTCACTATCAAAGTTGCCTTTCTCCTTGCGATCACTTCGGCCCGTCGAGTTTCTGAACTCGCGGTACTCTCCGCCGATCCTCCCTACACTGTAGTCACTCAACACAGTGTCTCCCTGAGATGTCACCCTACCTTCGTCCCGAAAGTTAATTCATCATTCCACATCAACGAGCCTATGGTTTTTCCTACCTTTTACCCTAAACCACATGCTACACCTGAGGAAGCACGCCTGCATACATTAGACGTCAGAAGGGCGCTGGCATTCTACTTGGACAGAACACGTCCCTTCAGGAAGTCCCCATGATTGCTATTATCAGTGGTGACCGTTCTAGAGGTCATCAGCTATCATCACAACGCATATCGTCCCATATCGTTAACTGTATCTCTCGCTGTTACGCCCTTAGGGGCAGGACTCTACCCTGTCCACCAACAGCACACTCAACCAGGAGCATGGCTGCCTCCACAGCATTCCTGAAGAACGTCCCCTTACGTGACATATGCTGTGCAGCAACCTGGTCGTCATCATCCACGTTTGCTCAACACTATGCCCTTGACCGTCTCAGAGCTGCGGACGTACCAGTCACTCAGGCAGTCCTTTCATCTGTGCGCAAATAATTCCGAAGCACAATCAACTGTCAGGGTGACTGCTTCATATTCACCTGTAGTGGAGCACCCACGGGGACATCACTCGAAGAAGAAGAAATTGTTACTCACCTTGTGCAGTAACATCTGTTCTTCGAGATGTGTGTCCCCGTGGGTGCTCCACGACCCGCCCTCCTCTCTGCTTCGGAGCTCTTGTCTTTCTCTCTTTCAGGTGTTCCGGCTAGGAGGAACTGGCGCGTCGGACCGTGCGACGCAGGAAAGGTGCGAACACCGCGGGGCACTCTGCGCATGCGCGATCCTCCGGAGGGGGCTACTGCTGGTGAAAACTTTCTGGATTGCGGCACCGGGATGAGCCCGACACCTGTAGTGGAGCACCCACTGGGACACATCTCGAAGAACAGATGTTACTGCACAAGGTGAGTAACAATTTCTTTCACACTGACAGGCATGAATACAAAGATTAAGCCTTAAGCTGCAGTGCTGGTCCCAAACGTGGCCAGTGTGAGCCAGTCAGCACCTCAGCACTCTGCCCACGAGGCTAAGCAGTCAACATTTCCCACAATACCCTGGCGCTCCCAGCACCTCCTCCCTGGGGGCTAGAAACTCCAACACCCTGTACCCATCTGTTCCAGCCAGCCTGGCCACTTGTTTCTTTCAGTGCTCAACCCATCTGGGAGAGGCCTTGTCACTGTGGAGTGTGTTCACCGTGGAGGCCATGTTCAAAGGATCATACCCATGGGCCACATGTTGAGCCCCGCGTAAATGCAAACCACACTGCAAGCCACAAACAAACAGGTTGCGGGCTGCATGTTGAGTAGCCCAGGTCTAGACAGTACTGGGTCCTGCCATGAGGGCAGGGGACTGGATTCGATGACCTCTCGAGGTCCCTTCCAGTGGAGGAAAGAGCAACTTAGGTCTGGCCACATAAGTGTCATCAGAGGAACAGATTGAGGGAGCAGTAAGGAAGATTTGTGAGTCATTGAAGAAAAGAAAGATTGTGATTGAAAGCCCTGGAAGCACTTAAGATGGTCCATGGATAGGTTGTGAAGGGAGAAGAGAAAGATATCAAGGACAGACAAACCTCTGCACAGCAAAACACAAAGTGTAATTCTTGATCAACATTTTTAATCTGTAATGTTCATCGGAAATTACAACTCAGATTGTTTTAACTAGATTTGACTAAGGAAATCTGACACTAAAAAAAGACATTCCTGAGGTATAAATGGATTCCAGAACATAGCTCAAGTATATTTAAATTCTATAACAGTTCTGTGCATAGAGGAGGAAAAGGTTCTACATTAAACCAAGTATTTAATTTGTATATGTGGACCTCGGTGCAATTTTATAATTATGCATCACATTTTATTCAATATGTCATGTTTTTTGCAGGAAGAGAAGAGGTACCGAACTGCCTATTTAAGTGCAGAGGAATCTGAGCGGGAAACATTTTCTCTCTTCTCTGCAGCTGTGAGGGAAAGCCATGAAAAAGAGAGAACAAGAGCAGAAAAAACAAAGAACTGGTCCATTATTGGTTCTGTACTGGGAGCCATTATCGGTGTCCTTGGTTCCACTTATATCAACCGAGTGAGGCTGCAAGAATTAAAAGCCTTAGTTCTTGAAGCACAAAAGGGACCAATAAGCTTACAGGAGGCCATCAAAGAACAGGCGTCTAGCCACTACCTACAACAGAAGGATCTCAGTGAGCTCATAGTGACCCTGAGGAACATCTTGAAAGCTGGGACTGGGACAGCACAGGAAATGAAAGAGAGAGTTTCCTTGGCTACAGAAGGCACAAGTGCATCTTTGAAAACAGACCCTCTTTTAGTATCTTTAAAAGAACATCTAAAGTATTCTAAACAAGTCGGTTCTTGCTTGGAGAATTTACAACAGCAGCTTAGCACCCTGGAAGAGAGTTTAGGACAAATGACTCATGAGGTCCAAAATACTAAACATGCAGTTCATTTTAGACCTGTGGAAAGAGCAACGCTTGGCTCTTCAGCTGAGGCAAAGAATCAGGACTTGGTTGTGCAGGATGTGATTCTAGAATTGTGTGATGTGGAGCGGAGACTGGAAACACAAATCAAGAGAAATTCAGTCTTCAGCACTGCATTAACTTGCACAGTGTTTGCTGTAACTCTTCCTGTGTTATACATTTTATTGAAAGGAAACTAGTCTCCAGTGGAGAGAAACATAATTTACGGAGTTAATAAAATTACATTTGACCTCTAAACATTGGGAATCAGTTTTTATCAAAAAGCTGTATTAAGTTTCTAATCTTGCTTTTTCCAGAACTTATAGAAATTGCCAAAACATTTAACGGTCTTACTAGAGATGTAAGTAACTAGTCATCTCTGTTCGTAATGGGGGTGCAAAAGGACCAGCCAAGAATGTGGCCCTCTTGTGCCAGGCACTGCACGCAGAGCAGCAGATGGGCCCAGCTGGCAGCACGGAGGCTACGGCTACTCTGCTGCCTTTTTGCAGAAGAGAATATGCAAATCGTGAGCTCATTTGCATATCTTCTTTCGATTCTTTTTGCGGAAGAGGTTTTGCCGCTAAAAAGCCCCATGTGGACAGGGCCATTTGTCGGAAAAAAACCCTTTTTCACAAGATCCCTTATTCCTCAAAAATCGAGGTTTACAGGATCTTGCTAAAAGGATTTTTTCCAACAAAATGGGCCCTGTCCACATGGGGCTTTTTAGTGGAAAAACCTCTTCTGCAAAAAGAATCGGAAGAAGATATGCAAATGAGCATGCGATTTGCATATCCTCTTCTGCAAAAAAAATCACAGTGTAGGTATCGCCTCAGAGAGAGGCAGCAAGAGGGGGAGCAGGAGCCGGTGCTGGGGGGGAGCCAGTTTAAAAGCCTGTTCCTACCAAAACCGTCTCCGTGGGGGACAGGGGAGGTAGAGGCATAGCAGGAAATGGCGTGAGCGGGAACTGAAGTAGTCTCCGCTCGCGCCAGTTCTGCTGCGATTCTGCTTTTGAAATGTACACGAGCCCTGATGGGGCTTTTGTTGATTTCAAAGGCTGAGAATGTCAGGGAGCAAGGGGACAGTCCTGCTGGGCTCTTGCCACAGTTCAAAGGTGGTGCCCTTATCGACTAATCGAATAGTTGATGGAAATCACATAGACTATTAGATTAGTTAATTAATCTAAATTTAACATCCTAGGCTTATTTTCTACAGTACTTTTTCCCCCACTAGTGCTTTGTACAGTTGAGTTTAATTGTCTCAAGCAGTGGGAATTCTACAACTTCATTTGGTAGATTTTCGCCATCTTCTTTTCTAGTTTATTCTGCAATCCTCTAGAGTTCATTTGGAGAGACAATTCATGTTCAGATGATTTTTTTCTTAACTTTTCATTATGTGGTCACACCCTTTGGCTTTCATGTATAATTGTCCCCTCTTCACACTTACTACTTATCTTTATTGGTTTTTCAGTTTGACTGTACCTATACCCAAACTGCCAGGCAATTTATCAAACAGAAATGTCTACCATGAAGATTTTTATATAAATTTAAATGTGATCTAGTGATAGAAGTGACAAACAATAAGGACTGGATGGCCAAGACAAGATGTAGGTTATAACAATATGGTCCTTGCCCATTCAAGATGTGTGCATAGAGAGCTCAATTAAAATATTGTTGGTAATTTGTAGTCTCTTCTATTACAGATTATTTACATAACTTCTCAAAAGTGTTCTTGTTGCTTTAGCTGCTTAATTATAGTCAGTTCCCTGTCCCAAAGAGCTTATAACCTAAATAGATGACAGAACTAAATGATAAGAGGAAAGGTGCAGGTGGTAAGTAGACATGATTGAGATGAAGATTGGCACACAATGGCATATTAGCATAACCAGAACTGAGAAGACGATTCTCTCTGGGATACTCACCACACCCCAGCTCAGAAGAAGTACTGTGTCTTCCTTGCTCCTTTGTGTATGCATCACAAAATGACAAACCCCTGTTTAATTTGCTGTCCACATTATTCTGTCAGCCTTCCTGTGTTCCGAGTTTTTCCTTCCCAGTTAGTTTTTGTTTAATTACTTTTTACAAGATGTATTAGCTTGCATTTTACTACCTTCACCTGTTTCTATTCAGAGTCCTTTTGCGTTGTTACTCTGTCTTCAAGGGTATTTGTTAAACCTCCAAATTTAGTACAGGCAGTCCCCGGGTTACATGGATCTGACTTACATCAGATCCCTACTTACAAACGGGGTGAGGCAACCCCGCACTAGCTGCTTCCCCCCCAGCAGACCAGGGAGACGCGAAGCTAGCGCCCCCCCCCAGCAAACCAGGGATATGTGGAGCGGCTTTTCTCAGCAGACACCTCAGCTTGAGAATAAAGGACTGAGGGAAGTGAGGTGTGGGAGAATAAAACTGAGCTCTGGAGAAATGTTTGGCTAGAGTTTCCCCTACAATATGTACCAGTTCCGACTTACATACAAATTCAACTTAAGAACAAACCTACAGTCCCTATCTTGTACGTAACCCGGGGACTGCCTGTATATGAATTTAATTAACGTGTCCTGACTAAAGACTATAGAAGACATTAAAAATGGCCATTTCCTATACCATTCCCTAATGTATCTACTAGACATTCCTCACTTCATTCTTCCAAAATCTCTCATTTTCTGCCACTTAGAGAAAGGTGAATAAAATATACTTGTTTTTTGAAAAAGCTTATAATAAGGAACCGTGAGAGAGATTAAGAAATATAACCATAGGATAAGAAGCAAGTAGAGGAAAGCTGGCTATACCAGAGATTCTCAAACTGTGGTTCATGGAACACCAGTGGTCTGCAAGCTCCATTCTGGTGATCCACAGATAGTTCTCTCAAAGGATATGTCTACACTGCAGTGTTAGTTTGGAATAACTGACATTATTCTGAAATGACAAAGAGCACGTCTACACTGAAAGCCATTATTTTGAAATAATGGCGAGTTGGAGGATTTTTTACTCCAACTCCTGTAACCCTCATTTTATGAGGAAAAGGGAAGTCGAAGGAAAAGTGTTCTTCCTTCGACTTCCTGCTGTGTACACAGTGCCAAAAGCCAAATTCAGTTATTTAAATTTCAGCTACACAATTGATATAGCTCAAGTTGTGTAGCTTAATTCGACTTTAGCCCTGCTGTGTAGACATACCCTTAGATGCGCACTTGGGTGGCTGCACAAAAGAAAATGAGGGGCTCCCATAATTGGTGGCTCACAAGCATAGCAACACTAACTAGGTGCCTGGATCCTGGACCCTCATATGTAAGGTAAGGTGGTAGCTTTGGGAGGAATAGGGTGTAGTTGGGAGGGAGCAGTGGGGTGAGAAGGCGGGGGAGATTAGAGTTGAGCGGGCCTGTGGCAGCCAGAGAAAGAGGTGACTTCCCCAGCTCCAGGGCTGTGACTGCTGCGGAGAGTCGGCCCTCTTTCCCAGTCTCAACTCAGTGGCTGCTGTGGCAGGGGAAGAAAACCCTACTGATATTAAAATAGGAGTTGTGTGCTGTTATTTGTAGAACAATGGAAGTTAATTATTATTAAGGGGATTTTTATATAGCACTTTTATCCAAGGTGCTTTACAATAGTTAGCTAATGGTACAACGTTTGAAAAGATCATTAAGTGGTCTGCCAAGACCCTCAGCAATTTGAAGTAGTCCATAAAAAAAAGTTGAGAATCACTGGGTTATGCAATACTTATATTTCGACTGTACTCTTAGACTGTAAGAATGTAAATATTTAGACTGTATGTCCTTTGGGGCAGAGACTGTTACTGATGTGTTTGTACAACATTCAGCACAAGAGGGCCCCAACCTTGATTTGGACCATTCAGACACTACTGTAATAGTAGGAAACATGATAGTTGGCTGCATATCAGAGAAGTGATGTGAATAGAGAGAGCTTTAGGAATGTGCATTGGGAAACTTTTCATTTTAATATTTGCTTCGCTTTCAAGCAATTAAAAATTGTGATTAATTGCATGATTAAAAATGAATCTCTCACACTGTTAAATTATAGAATGCCATTTATTTAATATTTCCAGATACACTGATTTCCATTTGAACACAGAATACAAAGTGCATAGTGGTCAATTTATATTCATTTTTTATTGCAAGAACTTGCACTGTAAAAAAAAAAAAAAAAAAAATGTTTCAGTTCACCTAATACAAGTATTGTAGTACAATCTCTTTATAATGAAAGTTGAACTGGCAAATGTAGAATTATGTACAAAAAAACTGCATTCAGAAATAAAAAAGTAAAACTTCAGAATCAACAAATCCACTCTGTCCTACTTCTTCTTCAGCCAATTGCCCAGACAAATAAGTTTGGCTATGATTTGCAGGAGAGCTCACTTCTTGTTTACATTGTCACCTGAAAGAGAGAATAGATGTTTGCATGGCACTTTTATAGCTGGAATTGCAAGATATTTTTGTGCCAGATGTGCTGTGCCAAAGATTCATAGAATCATAGAATACTAGGACTGGAAGGGACCTCAAGAGGTCATCATGGCAGTACCAAATACTTTCTAGACCATCCCTGATAGACATTTATCTAACCTACTCTTAAATAACTCCAGAGATGGGGATTCCACAACCCCCCTGGGCAATTTATTCCAGTGTTTGACCACCCTGACAGTTAGGAACTTTTTCCTAATGTTCAACCTAAACCACTCTTGCTGCAGTTTAAGCCCATTGCTTCTTGTTCTATCCTCAGAAGCCAAGATGAACAAGTTTTCTCCCTCCTCTTTATGATACCCTTTTAGATACCTGAAAACTGCTATCATGTCCCCCCTCAATCTTCTCTTTTCTAAACTAAACAAACCCAATTCTTTCAGCCTTCCCTCATAGGTCATGTTCTCTAGACCTTTAATCATTCTCCTTGCTCTTCTCTGGACCCTCTCCAATTTTTCCACATCTTTCTTGAAATGCGGTGCCCAGAACTGGACACAATACTCAAATTGAGGCCTAACCAGCGCAGAGTAGAGCAGAAGAATGACTTCTCGTGTCTTGCTCACAACATACCTGTTAATACATCCCAGAATCATGTTTGCTTTCTTTGCAACAGCATCACACTGCTGACTCATATTTAACTTGTGGTCCACTATAACCCCTAGATCCCTTTCTGCTGTACTCCTTCCCAGGCAGTCGCTTCCCATTCTGTATGTGTGAAACTGATTGTTCCTTCCTAAGTGGAGCACTTTGCATTTGTCTTTATTAAACTTCATCCTATTTA